TGTCGGAAGTAGGTATGAATCAAGACTGTCATGATTGGTTGCAGAGGTCTAAGTTGTTGGACATGGCTACAACACTCATGAGTGCTCATAAGTTCTGAGCATTGGACTCAACCCACGCTCACTGGAATCACTTCATGGAATTTATCTCGAGTGATCGTGAGACGGTAATATCATATAAGTCTTCAAACCTAGAGATATGATTTGTTACTTATGAGTTGGTTATGCATTGATTGTACGTTAACGCATTGGTAACTCGATGTTATAAAACGTGCTTTTGTGTATAATTCAATGAGTGGTAGAACAAACATATGAGTCGAAGTTTATCTGTTCCTTCTTGGATTAGAAGCTGATATCTGGGCCCCTCGATGATTTTGTTTTGACCTATGTACCGGGCCCGGTCAGAACTAAGTTGATGTGTTCAATTAAGTTCTTTGTCAAACAAATCGGAAATCGGGAAACAAACTGCTGGACAATAAGTAAGACATTGTTCCATGTATTTGTCCGGCTGATATCTAGAACAGAGGATTATATGATCACTTATCTTAAATGGCGTATCATCATCTTCTCAGTTCCGAGAGACCTTGAAAGAGCTACGATTGCCGATCGGTTCCTGAAGTATTGCAGTTATAGTTATTAGACTTATCCAAGTGGGAGACTGTTGGATAAGGTGTCTAAGTCCATAACTATTTCTGGTATGTACTTGACCCGACCCGGCATGGTCCATTTGGGTTGCATGGCACCATGCAATTGGATAAACTAAAATGAGAGAAATAACACTTATGGTTTATTAATATATTATAAGTTCTAATATATTAATAATATTATTTAATTAGTTTGATCAAGAATTAATTTAGAATTAATTAAGTGATCAAAAGATAACTAATTAAATATATGGGTAGATTATGTAAATCTTCCATATCTTATATAGTGGGCTAAGAGGCTCCATGGATTATCAAGTTGGGTTCCACCCATAGGATGCTCCATGGATGCTCCATGGGAGTTACAAACCCATGGGTCATGGAAATGAAGAGTCATGACACATTAGGGTTTACATGGTGTAACCCTAGATGTGTCAACACTATATAAGAAACTCATTCTCCACCAAAATTGGCTACACTAAGAAACAAGAGGGTTAGAGCCGATTTTGCAAGTGTAAGATTCTCTCAAAGTTTACTCCTTTGCATTTGGTGTTGTGTGAAGCATTTGAGGCATCACACTTGGGGTGCTAGGCTCACAAGGTTTCAAGGATCATAATCAACAACAAGGTAAGTTATTCTATCTTTCATTCAAGTTAAAAATGTTCCCCATGTATGATAGATAGGAATATAACCTTGGAATTCAACTTTGCATGATTATTAGACAAACATAGATCCAAGGTTATTAGGGTTGCATGTACACTTAGGAAGTGTTAGAATGCTCAAAACCCATCAGTGTTCGCCCTCAAGATATGGCTTCACTATTTGTATGGGGTACGGTGTATCATATACACGGACCACAAGAGTTTGAAGTACTTGATGGATCAGCCCAACCTGAACATGCGCCAAAGGAGATGGTTGGATGTGGTAAAGGATTATGACTGCGAGATCCTGTACCACCCGGGCAAGGCTAACGTTGTAGCCGATGCCCTGAGCCGTAGGGCGGAGAGTGCTCCGATACGAGATATTTGCATGAGGATGACGGTGATGACTCCGGTGATGGATGCCATCCGAGAGGCCCAGGCAGAGGCTGTGAGACCGGAGAACCGCAAAAGAGAGCGGGTGATTGGGCAGGTATCTGAGTTTGTTACCGATAGTCGAGGGCTTATGACCTTTCAGGGCCGGATTTGGGTGCCGTTTACGGGCGGGGCACGTACCATCCTGATGGAGGAGGCGCACAGATCGAGGTTCTCGATCCATCCCGGAGCCACTAAGATGTATTTGGACCTGAAGAGAGAGTATTGGTGGCCCTGTATGAAGAGGGATGTGGCGTGGTTTGTGGAGACGTGCTTGACCTGTCGCATGGTTAAGGCTGAGCACCAACGTCCGCATGGCAAGTTGCAGCCACTCGAGGTTCCCCAGTGGAAGTGGGAACAGATTTCCATGGATTTTATCACCGAATTGCCAAGGACCGCGAGGGGTATCGATGCAATTTGGGTGATCATTGACCGGCTGACGAAGAGCGCTCACTTCCTTGCTATCAGCGAGAGCTCTTCCGCAGAGAGACTGGCAGAGATGTATGTGAGAGAGGTGATATCTCGACATGGAGTACCGATCTCGATTGTGTCAGATCGAGATGTACGTTTCACTTCCAGATTCTGGAAGAAATTCCATGAGGAGTTGGGTACGAGGTTGCATTTCAGCACCGCTTACCACCCACAGACGAACGGACAGAGTGAGCGGACGATTCAGACGCTCGAGGACATGCTTCGAGCATGTGTGTTGGACTTCGGAGGAAGTTGGGACACGTAGTTGCCATTGGCTGAGTTTTCCTATAATAACAGTCACCATTGGAGTATTGGTATGCCTCCCTTCGAGTTGTTGTATGAGAGAAGGTATCGGACTCCCATCTGCTTGGGAAAAGTAGGGCAGCGAGTAATGGGTAGCACGGAGATAGTGCTTCAGACGACGGAGCAGATACAGCAGGTCAGACAGAGGTTGCTAACAGCTCAGAGTCGCCAGAAGAATTATGCGGATAGGCGACGATCCGAGCTCGAGTTTCAGGTTGGTGACTTCGTACTCCTGAAGGTATCTCCTTGGAAAGGAGTGATCCGATTCAGGAAGAGGGGCAAGCTGGGGCCCCGATACATTGGCCCTTTCAGGGTGACCACGAGGGTGGGCAGGGTAGCATATCGTTTAGAGCTACCTGCGGAGTTGAGCCAGATACATGATACCTTCCACGTGTCTCAGTTGAGGAAGTGTATATCCGACGAGTCGGCAGTAGTGCCACTAGAGGATATTCAGGTGGATGCGAGCCTAAATTATGTTGAGAAGCCGATCGCGATCTTGGATTGGAAGATCAAGGTTCTGAGGACACAAGGAGGTGCCCCTGGTTCAGGTCCAGTGGCAACATCAGAGAGGGTCCGAGTTGACTTGGGAGCCGGAGGCAGAGATGCGGGTGCAGCACCCAAAGTTGTTTGCAGAGAGAGACTTCGAGGGCGAAGTCTGATTCTAGAGGGGAAGAATTGTAACATCGGGATTTCCAGGTACCATATTTAAATTGTTTATTTTGAGTTATGAGGAGGGACTCGACGAGTTGACGCCTAGACTCGTCGAGTAGGATCGCGAGTTGCTGACTGGATTAATGAACGGACTCGACGAGTCGATGGGTGGACTCGACGAGTCCGCGCTGTGGGTGGAAACCCTAATTCCTCGGGCCTGTGCCCTATTTAAGGGACCTTATGGCCCTCATTTGCGGCTACCAGTCGAGAGAGGGAAACCCTAGTGAGCTTGAGCGTGTGGTGTGAGGAGAAGGGCTATTTTAATCCTTGTTGGTGTGAGTTTTGCAAAGAAGAAGGGGATTCCAACAAAAGAAGGTCAAGGGGGTTGCTATTCTGTGGTTTCAAGCAAGGAAACTCCATCTTTGAGGTATTAAATCGAACCCTTCTTCTGTTTTGGTGTAGAACCCTTGAATCTAGGGTTTTCTCTATTCTTTATTGGCTTGGATATGGTGCTTATGATGTCCCTCTGAGTGTTAAACTCTGGATCTGGACCTTGAGAGGTCCAGAAAGCCCCAACCTCCCTGCTTTATGCTATTCCATTAGAGATGTGAGCCTAGGTTGCCATTTTAGAGGCCATTTCACCAAAGGAAGCATATTGAGCGTTGCATGAGTGTAAAGGTCGGACCTTTACGTGATTGTTGAGTATGGTAAGGTCAGATCTATAGGTTAAAGAAACAGGTCTGACCTCAGAAGGTCATTTGAGTGTTGCCATGGAAGGAACTCGCCGAGTCCATAAGGGGACTCGACGAGTCGAGTCGGGTTGCCCCGCGATTCATGACCAGTGGTAACCCGTCGAGTGAAAGGTTAACTCGACGAGTATAGTGAAGATCTATGAGGATTCGGAAGACGCCTGGACTCGCCGAGTCACACGAGTGCACTCGACGAGTCTGGTCAAAGTTTGACCGTTGACTTGAGTTGACTTCAGTTGACCTTAGGGTTTTGGTCAAGCTGGTTCTAGAAAGAGATCTGTGATGTGTGTGAAACGTACTAGTTTTAATCCTACTAACTTAAACAAAAAAAACAAACACACAAAAGGCAGTGTACCTATCGATTAGTAGTTTAGCTCTGGTAAGTAGGGTATCGAACATAGGGAACGGTAAACAATTAAAATAAATGCTAATATTATCTAAATAAAACAATATAAAAGGGGGTTTCTTTAGTTTTGCAAGACTAGAAACTTAAACAATCAATTAACACTCAAACAAAATACAGTTAACAATTAAGAAGAACAAGAAAGGACAACTAGATTCAATGATAAAAGAGACTTCTGTTCAGATTTGATTCACTTATTCCTATGGTTGATTTCGTGGCAAGTGCAATGGATCAATATGTCAATGGTTACCGATTCCTAATATGATTGGGTTCATGTTCACTATTACCAATCCTTTAGTAGACAAGTTAATTCAAACAGTGGCCAGTTGATTAAACTAACAAGTTTCCTAGTGTTCAGTTCGTATCAAGTAAAACTTGTAATAATAGCTAATCAAATTTGTTCAATTCAATCAACTCATATGTGGTTGTTCATCAAACATGATCACACATTGATTTACATATTTTCTAGTTAACCCTAGTTTCATGTTCACTATTCCTAGGCATACAATCTTGTATTCTCAAAATTATATGAATCAAGTAATCAAGAAGATGTTCATACAACTTAATAACTCACTTATTAACAGAAAATATTTATCATCAATACATGACGATCTTTAACAAGCTTAACAAGATAAGTAACTAAATTAATATTAATCCAACCACTCAATCAAACCATGTTCATAAGATTATCTCATCCAAACAGAAGTAAAAAGCTTTTAGCTCATATCTACAGCAAGTAATAACCTAAAATCAAAATCTAATGATTCAAACATGGTTCAAAACAAAGATTAAGAAAAGAAGAATGATTATTTGCCTTTAACTCTCTTCTAAATTGTCTCTTATGTTGCAATCTCGAAAACTGAAGCTCCAAGAACCCTTCTGATCTTCAATAATCGCAGCTAGCCTCCAGAAAGTGTTAGGGTTCGAATGAGAAGTGTTTCTATATATAAATTCTGAAAACAGGGCCAACTCGACGAGTTTTCACCACAAACTCGTCGAGTTTTTTCGATAATCCGCGTATACAGCGTGTACGGCAAGGCATCCTTAAATCGAGAATATTCTAACCAACTCGTCGAGTTTGTGCTAAAAACTCGTCGAGTTCTCTTGGAATCAACATTTTCTCAAAACACGAAAGTCGTCCGAAATTGTGTCTAGTTTTCAGAACATTTTGAATCTCGTCAATCGGAGTTACGGTTCATGAGATATGGACAAAACACTGACGAGGGGTCAAGTTGTCCAATAACATCCTTCTTTCTTCAGTCTTCAATCTCCAAGCTTCCAATCACTCAATCCTCTTCCTTTTTCACCCGAGCATGTCTTTTATTGCTGAAATTGAAATATTAAGCTAATTAAGTACCTTTTGTCCATAAAATGATATAAAATCAACAATAATTAATAAGATAATGAATGATTTCTATGACTAAATAAGTCCATATCAATCTGGGAGGGGTAGAATGGTCTTCTACCCCACTCCTTAGAAATGAGGTCAAGAGAAAGTATTGATTAGAGATGTTATTATGTTGATAGGAGGAGGCTAGGTCGAGTTATCGAGCACGAGAGGTTATCCGACATCGTACTAGGTGAGTCTTCTCACTATACTTTACCTAGAGTGGTAATTATGTGTGACCGGAAGGTCTTGTGTGCTATGATGAATATGTGACGTATGTTGTTGTATGATATGAATGTGCTATGTTATGTTATGAGTATTATGATATGGACCGGAAGGTCAACGGTGTACGGGTTGGAAGGTCAAGATGATACGGACTGGAAGGTCTATCAGGGTTATGGGACGGAAGTCCCCTGAGACACATGGACCGGAAGGTCTTGTAGAGCGATAGCCTTGAGTGGCGTATGTGCGTATGTGGTATTTTGGGGAACTCGCTAAACATTTATGCTTACAGTGTTTGTGTGATGTATTTCAGGTACCAGTGAGGATCGCGGGAAGGCGCCGACATGATCTGTACACACTGATGGGATTTATGTATTAGAGATCTTGGGATTTGTTTTATTATGATGACATGTGATACAATGGATTCTTATGATATCTTATGAATGAAATTATGTTTTAAAAATGAAAAATTGTTTTGAAAATTTACGTTGTTACAAGTTGGTATCAGAGCCTTGGTTTGAGGGATTCGGATGCACCTTCGGGCGTATCTGAACTCAAACTGAGGATTTGAGAAAGTTTTTCATAAAAGAAACAATTTTTCTAAAAAGTAAAGAAATCTGAGAAAAGCGGAAAGAAGCAGTGTGTACGATCAGTCAGCGCCCAAACGGTGATTTCCCAAAATACCCTTACATTATGTGTTATGAGATATGATATGATATGTTATGTATGCTAGAGTAGGCTAGGTATTCATATTAGGACTAGAGTGGCCTGATTTGTGATGCCTTAGCCTAGGAGATTACTGCTGCTATGAGATGCTTGAGAGTGAGTAAGTAGCAGTGAGGAGCTTATGAGGGGCCTACCGAAGGGTAGCCTGTGCTTAGCGAGAAGTAGAGTACTTGTGATCTGGGATCATAGGAGGAGGACTTGGGGTGAATATTGATGCGGTGTGGACGGTAGTATAGGGCCCGTACTACTGAAAACACCGGATCAGTGCGCATTCCAAGTAAGAATCCTTAGGTACTAAGGAACAAGTAAGGATGGGTTATCGAGTGCGTGCATACTCGAGCAAGTCTCTGATATTATTATGTTGTATTTGAGAGACATCATGGTTGGGACACGCCACAGAGCAGAGACCAGCGGCGTGAGTGACGAGGAGCTTCGTCAGATGATCCACGATGAGGTGGCTGCGGCTATCCGCGCAGAGATACCAGAGATGTTTGGGTCTATTAAGACCACTCTGATTGAGACGTTCGATGAGAGATACGTTGCGCTTACTGAGGCTGCAGCCGCTTGCAGCTACTGCATCTGTTGCTGCTGCTAGACCTCAGGGGGGTGACTCGTTGCTGTTCCGGGAATTCAGCAATACGAAGCCACCAGAGTTTGATGGGACACAGGACCCGATTGCTGCGATGAGATGGATTTCTGATATTGAGGGATGCTTCTACACCTGTTCGTGTCCGGAGCATCCGAGGGTACGGTTCGCTTTGAACCAGCTCCGCTTGGGAGCGAAGGATTGGTGGAAGGTTGTGACGGCAAACTTCACTCATGCAGAGATCTCAGAGGTGACCTGGGAGAGGTTCACCACCATGTTCAGAGACGAGTATGTTACCCCGGTGGAGAGGGAACGGTTGGCACAGGAGTTCTTGTCCCTCAAGCAGGGGACGGAGTCCGTGACTGTGATTACATGGATGTTCCACGAGAGGGCGTTGTTTTGCCTTGAGCACGTGTCGTCTGAGCAGGCACGCATGAGTCGGTATTTGAGCATTCTGAGGAGGGACATTCGGGAGTTCGTGGCGAACTCGACTTACCGGACATTTGCTGAACTCCAGGCAAATGCCCGGAAGAGGGAGATTGAGCTAGAGACTCAGGCCAGGGAGGAGGCCGCGTCTCAGAGGAGTGACATGCGACCGATACAGGTACAGTCGGCAGCCAAGCGGGCTAAGCCCGCTGATACGAGATCTGGAGGCCAAAAGGGCCGCACTTGTGGGAAGTGCGGCAAGGGACATGATGGAGTGTGTCGAGCGGGTGCTTGCTACAAATGTGGCAAGGAGGGGCATATAGCCAAGGACTGCCCCAAGGGATTTATGATTTGCTTTCATTGCAACCAGACGGGTCACCGGAGGGCCGAGTGCCCACAGCTGTCACAGGGATCAGTGCAGGGATCTGCCCCTGCTACTGCACGAGCTACTGAGAGTCGGCCAGTGAAGGCCGAGGCACCGATGGCTCGCGGGAGAGCCTTCCAGTTGACAGCGGAAGAGGTCCGTGCAGCGCCGGATGTCGTGGCTGGTATGTATTCATTCATTTATTTATGCTGAGTTGAGATTTTGTGCTTATATTATGATATATGTAGGTACTTTTCTTGTGAGTTCTGTACCTGCTTTGGTGTTATTTGACTCGAGTGCGAGTCCATCATTTGTGTCGTTAGCGTTTAGTCAACACATCAGTATTCGACGAGAGGCGTTGAGTCGACCTCTACGAGTTTCCCTAGCTGACGAGCGAGCGGTGTATGCTACTGATGTGATTCGAGGATGTGTACTCGAGATCTTCGGTGTTGAGTTCCCAATAGATCTGGTCCCGATTGCGATGGGGGACGTTTGCGTTATAGTGGGTATGGTGTGATTTTTGCAAAGAAGAAGGGGATTCCAACAAAAGAAGGTCAAGGGGGTTGCTATTCTGTGGTTTCAAGCAAGGAAACTCCATCTTTGAGGTATTAAATCGAACCCTTCTTCTGTTTTGGTGTAGAACCCTTGAATCTAGGGTTTTCTTTATTCTTTATTGGCTTGGATATGGTGCTTATGATGTCCCTCTGAGTGTTAAACTCTGGATCTGGACCTTGAGAGGTCCAGAAAGCCCCAACCTCCCTGCTTTATGCTATTCCATTAGAGATGTGAGCCTAGGTTGCCATTTTAGAGGCTATTTCACCAAAGGAAGCATATTGAGCGTTGCATGAGTGTAAAGGTCGGACCTTTACGTGATTGTTGAGTATGGTAAGGTCAGATCTATAGGTTAGAGAAACAGATCTGACCTCAGAAGGTCATTTGAGTGTTGCCATGGAAGGAACTCGCCGAGTCCATAAGGGGACTCGACGAGTCGAGTCGGGTTGCCCCGCGATTCATGACCAGTGGTAACTCGTTGAGTGAAATGTTAACTCGACGAGTAGAGTGAAGATCTATGAGGATTCGGAAGACGCCTGGACTCGCCGAGTCACACGAGTGCACTCGACGAGTCTGGTCAAAGTTTGACCGTTGACTTCAGTTGACCTTAGGGTTTTGGTCAAGCTGGTTCTAGAAAGTGATCTGGGAGGGGTAGAATGGTCTTCTACCCACTCCTTAGAAATGAGGTCAAGAGAAAGTATTGATTAGAGATGTTATTATGTTGATAGGAGGAGGCTAGGTCGGGTTATCGAGCACGAGAAGTTATCCGACATCGTACGAGGTGAGTCTTCTCACTATACTTTACCTAGAGTGGTAATTATGTGTGACCGGAAGGTCTTGTGTGCTATGATGAATATGTGACGTATGTTGTTGTATGATATGTATGTGCTATGTTATGTTATGAGTATTATGATATGGGCCGGAAGGTCAACGGTGTGGGGACCGGAAGGTCAAGATGATACGGACCGGAAGGTCTATCAGGGTTATGGGACGGAAGTCCCCTGAGACACATGGACCGGAAGGTCTTGTAGAGCGATAGCTTTGAGTGGCGTATGTGGTATTTTGGGGAACTCACTAAGCATTTATGCTTACAGTGTTTGTGATGAAGGAGAACTCGACGAGTTGTTCATACAACTCGGCGAGTCGGATGAAGTTAGAGTCGACATTAGTATGGAAGAAGAACTCGTCAAGTTGTTGCCAAACTCGACGAGTTGAAGCGGGTAGAGGATTAGAAAAGGTGTTAGGGACTCGACGAGTTGTCGGCCCAACTCGGCGAGTCCGGTCAACTGGAAGTTGACTTTAACGAGGAAGTTGACTAGGATGTTGACTCTGACCAGGGGTAAAATAGTCATTTTACCCTGAGAATAGTTATCAGTATCTGACTTAGTGTTTATGAGATTTGTAGCCGAGGAGTTCTGGAGCAGCAGTCAGCCAGTTTCAGATTTAGCATCTTAGCAGTCAGCGTTACGAGGTGAGTTTTCCTTCTAGTAGGAACGGGTCTACGGCCACAATGCCGACCCGTTTAGATAGCAGTAGTTCCGGATTTTGGTCCGATGCAGTAGTTCAATATGCTTGATGTCTTTGTGATTCAGGCATGTTTATGTGTTAGTTAGTCCGGACCTCGGTCTGATGCAGTATGCAGTATATGTGCTTATGTTATGTGCCATGATCATGTTATGCTATGCCCCAGTTAGTCCGGATTTCGGTCCGATGTAGGGGGCAAGGCCCTAGTTAGTCCGGACTTCGGTCCGATGCAGGGGGCAAGTCCCCAGTTAGTCCGGACTTCGGTCCGATGCAGTGGGCAAGGCCCAGTATGTACGTTATATGTTATTGTATGGTGTGTGGTAGTTTGGGGGAGCTCACTAAGTTTTGTGCTTACAGTTTCAGTTTTGGTTTCAGGTACTTCTGTTAGCAAGGGGAAGAGCTCGGGATGATGGCATGGCACACACCATAGTTAGTCAGCCTGTGATGTTTTACTCTGATGATAAGAATATGTTTTGAATTAACTCTCTGATTTTATGTTATGATTCATGTTATGGATTGACAATCGTGGTTTAAGTAATGTTTTTCAAACGAAATTTTTAGTCATGATTTTTGGGTTGTTACATTATTATTATTCTCATTTCTGTCAGAATGTTTGTCAGAATGTTTATTGAGTCGTATTCTGTCAGAATGAAAATAAGTGAAAAACGATGTGTGAGAACAAAAATAAATAATAATTAGCGAGAATGCAGGAAAATGAAGATATTTTTGTAAGGTTGAACG